TTAATTCAAACAAATTGACTGATATAAGATCTTAAAAGCAAAAAGCCATGACCGATCAGATTTCATGTCGAGAGGATTGACCAGACGTTACGCTTGTTTGATAAAGGGAGCACATTATTACTATAATATATTATTATAAAATTTTACAAAAATCTTAAACCATCCTTTGCATGCAATGCAAAGCATTTAATTTTGTTATTTGATGGATCAGTTGTTTGGAAGAGCGACTTGTTGTATTTTATTTCATGTTCGATTAATACAATGCGTCATCTATTGACAATTATATAAAATATTTTTCAAACGAAATCCAATAGCACCGCCATCTATCAATGTAAATTAGTAAACTCAAACTAAGGATATACATGAACAGCGCCATCTAGTTACATGACTGTTAAACTTACGTTGGTGAAATTTGTTACAGCGCCATCTAGTTACATAATTGTCAAACTATCATTGGTATAACTCGATACATTGCCATCTATGATTTTCAACGTGTACTACAACAACAACGCCCTATCTTAGTTTTATCCACAATCGAACATAGATGTCGGTAGAAGTACGATTCTGATTATTAAGTTTATGAGATGCGTAAAAAGGTATGCTGTGCTCATTGCAAGTGGTTCAAAGCAGTTCGTGGTTATAACGATGAGATCTGTGTTTGTATTACGCAAATATTAGACGTTGAAGAGTCAGGCGTGTCTTGCTGCCCTCAATTTACATTTACGAGACTTTAAGTAGGGTAGATAGATATTTGATAACTTATGATTTGTTTAATCATTGAAGAGTGGATTATTCGATTGGAATTCGAGATTACCTTTATGAATATATTTTAAAACCACTTTTAATGCTGAAAACTATGATTTACAAATTGACTGACAAATTCGCGTAGGATTTTTAGACCTTTTTAGACTTTTTACCAGCATAAAGCTAAGCTTTTTGCTGGCGTTATGTTTTCACTTTCCATGACATTAATTATTTTAAATAAATGCTTCGACAGTGACGAACTTGAAGTTAACTTGTGACGAAGGCACATTTTTAGAAATTATAACTTGAGAGGATTGAACAACAAATGGTTATATTAATTTGGTTTATTAAGAGATTATGGTAGAGGCGTTTAGTCAATATAACATAATATTAATTGGATTTTAAGTTGTAAATATTTTAGTCATGTAGTTATTATTTAGTTATTATTATGTATGAGAGGTGAGTCTTCAAGTCTCGAGTGAAAAGATTGCTCATAAATAGTCGTGCTCCATCGTCGGCCACATCATTGCTTACCATCAGGCGAGATGGTGGTCAAGTGTCAACCGAACAGGTATAAAAAAACTGAAAATTATTTAACCATAATATAACTACCTAAGTTCTTTCAGTAATTTTATTTTGTTTTGTATTCGTTGCATGTATCATCTACACTGTGTCTTATATCTTATATTTAATTTCCTTTTCCTGTCGCAGGTCTGCAGGAAGAAATCCCTTAAACTATCAAACACCAAGCGGTCACCGGTGACCGCAACCTATTGTTCTATATTTGTGTCTATAATGACGGTACTCGACGAGTTAAGGGATATGCGGTACCTATGTACCTCATGTTTGTAATGTGTTGTCCTTTGTAATATTGTCTGTGTGTACATGAAATGATAAATAAAATAAATAAATAACTACCTAAGTTTTCATTCCTAATTAAGAGTTATAAGACACCATATCCTAGGCTCTACATTACTGAAGTGGTCATCAATCTCATAGACGTTTTCCGGTCACTACCCGACGCGCGAGCAATACATCTAGAACGACGCAGGAACTGAACCAGGAACTCTGCGGCCGTACGGAAATTGTAGAGATACAGGTGTTCATAGACTTAGATAAACACTGCGAAAGATACATTATTATTATTTATATTTTACAATATATTGTTATGGACTGCCTCGTTGGCCGAGTGGTCGGAAGTGCGACTGCCGGGCAAGGGGTCTCGTATTCGATTCCAGGGTCGGACAAAGTATTACTGGGTTTTTAAAAATTCTCAGTAGTAGCACGGAGTCTGGAACTGTGCCCGGTATATGGCAATAGGCTCACCCCTATTACATGGGACTCTTAACATAAATAGTGAAAAGTGGGTGTTACATTGTACAGTGGCTTAATGTGCACCTCTGCCTACCCCTTCGGGGATAAAAGGCGTGATGTTATGTTATGTTATGTTGATATGTTGTTATTGACTGCATGTTGCCGTAAAGTGTCACATGTTCGATTCCGCAAGTGAAATTATAAATATGTGTTGATGCCAACATACAATAACTAACAATTGACCTATGACAGAAGTTCCAGGAGAATTTTCTCCCAATATTGAATTAATTTTTTTGGTAAGGTTAAAGTTTCTCATCTGTACAGGCCCCTAGGCTATGAGGTAACATACAGATGACTGTAAATGTTATCTCATGGACCCAGGCCTGTAAATAATTATCTATATATGTAGTTAATGTAATGTAGTTAATTTTTTTCACATTATTAATGCTTTTATTAACTACAGTGGTTTATTTTATAAATACTCGTGATTACTCGAATTTTTCAAGGAAATCTAGTCCTTTCCAAACTCAGTTACATTATATGGAACATATAGTAGATAAGTATATACTATGCTACTGTGTACTATCATATGTATACTATGTTCGTTCGTTCACACATTCGATACACCTTGTAAAGTTCATTCACTTTACCTTTTTATTTTATTTATAACTTTAGGTTCAATCTGTACTTGATGTATTTAGTATCCGTATTTTCTTATAAAAATAATAATGACATTACGTCTTTTATATTTGTGTATCGGCCTACGGCTACTACTTGGCCACTATCTCTTTTGTGTATTTTTTTTTTTTTTAATAAAAACTTTGCCCCACACTAGGATTATCTCCTGTGTCGTGGGTGCGTTTACAAACATACAAGTTCACATACACATGACACCCAGACCCGAAACAACAATTTGTGGATCACACAAAGTGTTGTTCCGTGCGGGAATCGAACCCGCGACACGTTGCACGGCAGCCGGTTGCCCAGCCCCCGCACCAACCGTGCAGTCTTGATAAGGTTGTATGTTTTTCAAAAAAGTGATGGAGATTTTTTATGGCATAGTGGCATCAAACGAGCAGACGGATCACCTGAAGGTAAGCAATCGGCGTCGCCCATGGACACCTGAAACACTAAGGCGTTACAAGTGCGTTACCGGCCTTTTGGGAATTGGGAATTTGAGGATTGTGGAGGATTTATAAACTCCAGTAACCTCACTCACACGACGTAACACAACGCAAGCGTTGTTTCACGTCGTTTTTCTGTAAGGACACGGTACCGCTTCTGTCTAGCCGGTCCAATCGTGCCGAAGCATGGCTCTCCCACCATTATATAGGTGTTTTCCTTACATCTTTTTTAGTTTACGCACACTAGAAGTTTAGTGTCATTTTTTAGTGTCGGAGGTGCATTTATCAATACTTAATATACCATACACTTCACAACTAATACTAAAACAATAATTGGAGAATCACACAAAGAATTATGTTGCTTACCTATATTATAACTTTAATGAAACATACTAAATTAATTATTACATTGACAGTCGCCACGTTATGTGTCGCGGAATGCTGCTCATGATTAAAAGCCCCTGGAAAGCTTGAAACTAGTCGAGTTCCTTGTCAAATAGTAACGTGAGTAAGCTGAAAAACATAATAATGAATTATGTAACTATTGAAGTTTATAACATAACTAGCATACTGTCAATTAGGGCTGATTCCGAACCGGAGCCCCGGCAACACGTTAAGTCCTCCGGCTCCGGCTTGGAGTGCAGAAGTAGGAACGGGGTGGTTTTTAGTCAGTAAGAGTCTGACACTCCCTCCCGCCTCACCAATCATCGGATGATTCCCCCCCCAAAATGCATACTGTCAATAAATTTCACTATATTCTTTATAGAAACATATTACTAATACCAGTCGTTGTATTAACCAAAATATAAAACCAAGGACCATGTACTCAACAGTACATACTATACTTACACTATATACTACAGCCACACAAGGTGACTCAATTAGGGATCCAAACCCGGAACCTTTGGTGCGGAAAGCTGGTGTTGTGTCCATTTGGGTGATACGAGCGCGCCACGTCCGCGAGGCACGACCGAGTTTGAAAGTGAAGTGGGTTCGGCCCCAGTTGTCGACAACATTTCTGTGTTGGTGCAATTTCTTTAAAATAATAATGACTTAGGTATTGTTACACATGCTAATTGCAAACAATAGTCATTTAAGTGTGAGAGAGCCATGCTTCGGTACGAATGGGCCGGCTCGACCGGAGTGATACCACGGCCTCACAGAAAACTGACGTGAAATAACACTTGCGTTGTGGAGGTTCAATTACCCCCTTTCTCAATCCTCGAATCCTCAACAATCCTCAAATTCCTTATCCCCAAAAGGCCAGTAACCTACTTGTAACATCGCGTGTTTCGGGTATCTATTGGTGGCGCTGATTGCTTGCCATCAGGTGATCTGTCTGCTCGTTTATCGGCTTATCCTGTAAAAAACGGTTTCACTGTTAAAAAAAGGAAGGGAAGCAGGAATACGTATTACTGTTGTAGAGAGAGGTAACATAAGGTTATAAAGGTATGACATGATCTACTTATAGGCCAATGGATATAGGCGTCTCTGGGTGACCTATTTTACCCAATAGTGCCTTGAGAGATTTAAAATGAGGTCAGGTTTGCAGCTCGTGCTATTTACGTCTTCGTTTGGATAGTTTTTGATATTAAGGATATTAGTTTCTTAGGGAACGTTAACTATTTGAAGGAAAATCCATTTAACACAATCACGGATTACATTTGAAGGTTAAACGACTTTATTTACTTTTCTAAAACTTTTATAAAGGGCATACCCAAATGTTGGTCACCTCTGCATCGCTCAAAGCGAGAAGTGAACAGAGAAGAAACTGGCGGTAGCGGTGCGTACGCACAGCCCCGTCAGTCTAGCGCCGCCAGCGCCACCTTACGGACCTTCCGACAACTCCGCACTTTCACATCACAACGGTACAGCGCCCGCGCAGAACATGGCGTTCTGATTACGAAAAAAAAAAAAAATATTCAAGTGTCGAAAAAAAATTATATAGTGAAGTGACAAATTTTTCCGAACAATTTTTTTTATCGATGAATTCCAAAGTGCTGTGAAAATGCTACAGCCGAGGTTATTTTGTGAAGGAAAAAGCCGCAGGATGCCTTTCAGGAGTTTAGTCGTGTTCGTCGCGTTATTATTAAGCTCGACACTAGTTACATGTCAAGGTAAGCCTTTTTTTAAGTTCATAATGTCATAGAGCCTTTCGATCACGATTCTGTGGTTTTTGTGATAGTCTTTTAATACCATGTTGCGTCAAATTGAGAAGAAAAAGTTGTTTGGTAAAAATTATATAGGTCATTCTTTTTTAACGAAATTCCCAAATGTTTTTTATTAAAATTTAATACCTACTATTTATAATACAGAAAAGGACCATTATAAAATAAATAAATGTAAATTTTTGCCTGAAATAAGCGTGGAAATGAACTAAAATGTGAAATAAAATGTTATCAAAAGCTCCTGTACAAAAGACATCGACGCGTTCGCGGACACAAAACATTTCAAATCGATCTAGCATAGGAGCTTTTTGTAACATTCTAGAACGTATGTATCCTTATACCTATTAGCTCAAATGACAAAAGGTCACCATCGTTACTTAAAGTGGTAATATTATAATGATCTAAGACTGTAAATGTCAGTATATTTAGCGAAGAATGAATGAATCTAAACATGTTTTGTGATAAAATTAGAAATTACATACATGAGTTTGTTTTTAGATGTAAACGTAGGATAGCATCACGCTTTTTTTCCTTGAGAGGAGTAAGCAGAAGTGCTCGTTTAACTAATGTTAACTAATTTGCGAAATTTGAATAAATTTCGCAAATGAAGTATGTAGTTTTGAGTTTTTGTGTGGGTGGGAACGTTGCCTAGTGTTTGGTACAATTTTAGATATTTAACTTACTAGGTCCCACTGATCATACTTAGGCTTCAAATTTTCATAACTATTTCAACTGACCAGGATGTTGAATTCAAGACTTGGCACTCACTAATAGGTGGTTTTATCATCGAGCATTTTTTAACCAGTTCATATTTCAGTCTAGTCTATTTCACTAGCCGCGGAGAACCTAACGGGTTACGTAGGAACGGGGTGGTTTTTAGTCAGTAAGAGTATTCACCCAGGCGAGAGTTCTTACGATGATGTTTCCCACTTAAAAAAAGTCTTTTTCACTATCACAATTATACTTTAGACATCATAACAAAATGCTTAAAGAAGCGAATGAGTTCAATATAATAACAATAAGACTTTATTTATTCAAGGTTTAATGTAAATCTCACTTAGGTACTACCAGATTTAACTTACGTACGAAACTACAAGGATTTTGTGACATATATTTATTGCTTGATGACTTGAATTAATTGAGTAGCTGATATTTAATATTATCTCATCATTTGTAGTTCAAAGTAAGGAGTATTTGGCCTCGTAGATAAACATTATAATAATAGCCGAACGGAGGTAATAGAAAAGTCATTGCATTGACTTGATTTAAACTTCGACATATATTTTGGCATACATAAAATTTATAGTTTTACTGTCGTCAAAGTAATTTTCTTTTTTTGTCCCCTTGACTGTTACATTTTTCTCACAAAATTGAATCAAAAAAAACAATGTAAGCAAGAATTGTATTGTGAATATGATTAGAAAAGAGTAACCTATGGAGTTTCTTGCTCGTTCTTCTCTGTAGGAATCTACACTTTGGAACGAGCAAATAGCTTCACTAGAGGACTGACCTGACTGACTTTCTCCATATTTTAATATTTGTATCACGTTTCAAAAGTGCCTTCCTGGTCTAATTGAAATAAATGATTTTGACTTTGACTTTAAACTGGATTAGACTTGTGTGTCTTTTATCTATTTTCTCGTTTACTCTATCTTTGCCATTATTGGTTCACAGCATTGACAGGTCTTGCCAAGAATGTAGTATCATTCTGAACAGGTTGCAAAGGGCAGATGGCAGCCCATTCACGTTAAATTAGTATCATTAATTGCCAATGGTTTATTTTGTGATTCAGAATTATTAAGCTGTAAAAACCTTTGTTTCCTTAAAGTTTTAGTGCCCTGGGGCTTTCTACAGCTGAAATTTCAGTGGCTTTGGCTATAGCCATTGGGATCTCTAAACTTAACTGGCAAAATTGAATGTATTGTTTAGTTAATCTCTGTCTGTCATTTAGAGAATAACAAGTGTAATATTTTATAGAATTGTAGAATATTAAATGGAGATTATGTTAATCGAATACTTTAATGTCTTAATGAAACCATGTCAAGACGATTGCCCAAAAGATTCGTACGTTAAGTTGGTTTTAAGTTAACTAACTTTAACTTATATAAGTATTACGATTAATGTTTTGTAATACTGACTTTATTAATGCCAAGGTTTTGAGATAACTTGAGATGTGGAGATGTTATACTTACGATTTTGAGTGAAAGGTGATTTTTTAATAATGTAATTAGCGCAGGATTGCTGTAAACACGTGAGTTCGATTGCGAATCGCAGGAAATCTAGAAATATTTAGTAATTAGTGTACTTAAATTCACTTAGAGTATAGTTTTGTGAGCTCCACCCTCGCCTGTGAAGCGAGCCGGCAGCCGGTTGTCCAGCCACTGCACCAATCGTGCCGTCATTTTATTCTGAATAAAGAATATTACATTATTATTTGTATAGTGTTAAGTGAGGGCCTATGAGACATGTAGAGCGTATAAGACATACGAGATCTTATAAGGTAAGATCTTAGAAGGATTTTTCTGCTCTATTTCAGGTTCGTTTCGTTGTTTCTTCTCAGATCAGTCAGTTTTAAAAACATCCAACTCATTTCGGTTTTATTTTGTACATTGATGAGTAAAACCACTATTTATCAAATATTAAATGTAATTCGTCATCGTAGTCTCATGTCGATTCGAGTATCTTTCCTTACATATATACTTGTACAGATTTATCAACTTCTATTTACATTATATTTCGCAAATCTAATATTTGCAATGCCGTAAAATCGCATCTACTAAATATATTGACTAAGAGAGATAAATTATTAAGTATGCATTCAAAATCTGTAAGTGGGTAGGTATATTATTATCTGTATAAATTAAGACTGCCTTATTGGCCGAGTGGTCGCAAGCGCGACTACCGGGGTCTCGGGTTCGATTACCGGGTCGGTTGTTCTAGGTGTGTCAATGATCCATCCGCTTGTTTACAGACTTATCCCATAAAAAACAGCTCGAAAATATGCTCGACTAGTTTCAACCTAAACCGGGGTTCATAATTATTATCTATGTGCACGTGTGTTAATCATCTGGATAAAATAAACAATTTAGTATAATAATTTATTGAAAAACTTCGTTAAAAAGAAAGCAAGTATCTTAAAACAATTTTAGCCCATAAAACAGTAATTTTTATTGCATGTTATTCATTAATACTTTTTAAATTATTGTATTTACCATAGTAAATACAATAATTTATATAAAAAGTTCATAAACTTACGTAATAAAATAAACACTTCTAACATTGCGGTATGCAAATGACGTAATAGGTAGGCAGGTGTCGGTTATTGAGTTTAACTTGTATTTTAATTATTCATACAAATTCCTTAGGTTTTCTTAGATTTCAGTTAGGCTTTTGATATAGATAGCCTAGATTGAAACTAGTTCATTTGCAATTCTTTGACGGGATTATAAGTCATTAGAGTTGTGGATTGGTCTATAACTGTTAAAATAATATCACACCTAGAACTTTTTGCTTTAGGATCTAGGCTTGATAGATTTAACTTGTATGTATATGTTTCTGGTTGGTGCAGTGGCTGGGCAACTGGCTTCCGCGGAACTTGTCGCGAGCTCAATTCCCGCACGGAGCAACTGTTTGTGTTATCCACAGATTATTGTTCCGGGTCTGGGAGTCATGTGTATGTGAGCTTGTATGTTTGTAAACGCACCCACGACACAGGATGAGGTCCTAGTGTCCTAGGGCAATATCTTATTAAAAAATATCTGTATTAGATAGTAACGGTGACTGAGTAAATAGATTGAAGTATCTAGTTTGGTTTCTAGATAGGGCAAAGTTAGTAGTACAATGGGTTTTTTTAAAGAATTATTAAAGATGAAGAAAAATTAAAGAGTCTAAAATGCGTCCGGTATACAGCAATTGGCAAAATTCCTAAAAATTATGAGTTAATCACGTAAGTATACTAAGAAAAGCTCTACTGCTTTCGAGACACGCGGTCACGGCGCTGTCACTAAGCCAACTCATGAGGAAGACTCCCTCTGCGACTCGAAATCAATAGAGCTTTTCTCAGTATAGTGTTGTTATTATAAAAACATCGCAATTAGCAAACTTCTATAAACAGCTTCAACACGCTTACCTTACTTTGAAGGAGACAGACAGACAGGCATCGTCAAAGTACTATATACTATACACCCAAGATAACATTATTAGCTAGTACATAACATGTATAAGTATATAACTAACTATATACATATAATAATTCTATAGTGTTGTAACGTCCATTGCATAAGACCTGTGGGCGATTGGTCGTGTACCTAAATGTCATAGGGGACTGCCATTTTTACAGCCTGACCGGTATTAGGCAATCGTTGGTGTCCTATGCTATATATTACTTGTATTAGTTGAAGTTTGTTTGTTTGTTTTAGTGTGTTCTTATGTGGAAATGAGGTTTTTTTGTATGTGTTTTGTTATTGCAGAGATTTGTGTGGGTTTAGAATTGTGCTTATCTTTATATATATAATTCTGCTGTACGTGTATATGTCATTGAAATCCTCCTAAACGGCTTGACCGTTTTAAATGAATTTTTCTGTATACGTTTGAGTGGCGCCGTGTATGGTTTAGATTCACAAATCAGCCAGGCAGATGGCGCTGCAGTCGGTTTCTAGGTTATCTATACTTATTATATTATATGCAGGACAACGTCTGTTAGGTCCGCTAGTAATAATATAAAATGCGAAGTTTTTTTGGGTCATAGAGTTAGTAAATTACTAGTGTCGATTCTCACACGGAACAACTCTTTATTTGATCCACAGATTGTTGTTTCGAGTCTGGGTGTGATGTGTATGTGAACTTGTATGTTTGTAAACCCACGACATAAGAGAAAATTCTAGTGTGGCGTTAAAATCAAAGTCTGCAATTGTTTATGTATGAAATTGAATGTTGTACTTGGTAGTAGA